TGCTTATTTGTTTAATTCTGGCATTCTTTTGTTCTTTGGTCATATGACATCACAGTGGCTCTGCCTGTGCTAACTTTTCTAAGAAAGGGAGGTCCTGGCACCTCGTTCTTTATCATCTTTCTACACCATTCTTTGTCCATTAACATAAGCCCTCTGTGTAGGGCACAGATAACTCCAGCTAATCTAACTTGGTTGCTGTGTATGCCAGGTAATCGCCTGAGTGTATAGTAGGAAGAGGCATGCAATCTATCTGTACTCAGCTTCTCTAGCCAATCTTGTTGACCTTTTAAGTTAACTTTGTTTTGATTATCTTGTTCCCGAGTAAGTACAGAAGCAGATGTTTCAAGAATATCTCAGAGCCTCATAAATAGACCTCTGGCTTCTTTTATGGGTGTCACAACCTCCAAGGTGTAAGGAAGACCTTCAAATAGATAAGAATATCTCCCTAGAATCAGGAGGGGTAGTATGCTCAGGACTTTCCTGGGGAAGCTTGGAAGCAGTACTACTAGGAGAAGGCATAAATGATTCATAAGAAATTTCCCATCAATCCAATATCCCCAAGTTGTGCAAATATTAAAAGCCCCCCCAAGCATGCAACATGTGGGGATCAAAACCAGAAGAGGCACAGTGGCCAGCATGTGACTCAGCTTTGATGGATCTCTGACAAGCAGCTGCGCTGGCTTCATGACTTTTGCTGTTCCTCCAACTCACAGAGCTCCGCCTGCCTCTGCCTCCCGAGTGCTGGGATTAAAGGCGTGCGCCACCACCCAGCCCAAATCACAGTTCTTAAAATTATAAAATGAATATGTATTAAAGATTGAATCTGCCTCATTCATTGAAGGAACTCACCAGATGTTCTAACTGGCTTAAAAGAGAAGTCAAAGAACAGAAAAACGCTCGTGGCTTCAACTGGCTAGCTTAAAAATACTTGCAATTCATCTGTATCTGTATTGCCATTATTCCTTAAACAATATACAGCATAACAACTATCCAATAGCACTTATATGAAGTTTTATCATAAGTACTCTGGAGATGACCCAGATTATATGTGAGGATATGCCCACGTTGTGCACTGTTTGACCCTCTTAGAAGACCCAGCAAGAAGACTGCTCTGAATTTTTAGGAGTGAAGATGTCAAAATAAGAGTACCAGCCATCTTTTCCTTGGTGTCTGGAAGAGCTACCCTAGCTTTGAGCGCAGCTCACTATCGAGAAGCAGCTGTTTTACTTTGCCAAGAACTACCTATAATTTACAGACTAGAAAGACTCATGGACCCAAAACCAAATGACCCAAAAGGAGACATAGCTTTCCACTGAAGTGGGTTTTTTCTCATACATTTAAGATGATTGTTTCTGATTCCAGAATTCATTTTCTGCAGTCTTCCTTGAGTAGCTTGGGCAAACTGGATTATACCAAACATCTTAAGTGTACATCAATCTAGGTGGAATTAATAGCAATTTCCCTCCATCCATTTAAAAAACTGCCCCTGAAGATCCCATCTTATGTTGTTCTTGTCACAAATTGCATTTTCACACATTCTGTCAAGAAGGAAACAGGCCTAATTGCAAGCAGCCTTGCAGTTGGCTGTACAACTTACAGGAGCTAAATCTGACCCTGTCTAGTTTTCATAAAAGAGCATTAATCTTGCCTGACACTGGACTTAAAGACAGAGACTCAAACTGGTAGTTGTAAGAAGAATCAGGTGGCCTGCTATCTCCTCCAAGGTTTCAAGCTAAGCGGGATTACCATGTCTGCGTGTTTCTTTGTCTGCAAAACAGGACAGACAAGATGGTCTCGTGGCGGCTTTTTTTGTTGTCAGTTCCTATGATTCCGAGTATGCCAGTGAGATGTCTTATTTACATTTCATTGAAGTCTCATCTATGTCAGGCTGCCATACCCATATGTGCAGTCAAATATTATTAAGGATGTTTCTATGAAGGTATTTTCAGAACAATATTAACACTTAAATGGGAAAAGCCTTGTCCAACCAGCTGAAAGTTTTCACAGAATGATGATTGATAGCCTTGTCCAATCAGCTGAAAGCTTTCACGGAACGAAGATTGACGGGTGGCTACTGATGAGCAGGAGTTTAGGGGCTAGCATGATGCCTGAGTGGGTAAGGGCAATGCTGGCAAGCCTGAGGAACTGAGTTTGATCCCTGTGTCCCACGTGGTGGAAGAGAACTAACTTCCTTCAAATTGTCCTCGGACCTCCACAGCAATACTGTGGCACATGCTCACATACATATATGTATACTCACAAACAAACAAACAATAAATAATGTAATTTTTTAAAAATTTAGTGAGTTCATCCAGGAGCCCCAAGCCTCTAATCTGTTGGCTCAGATTCTTGGGTCTTTAGGTCTGTCTTATAATGTGCACCAATTCCTAAAATCCCGTCTCTTCTGGTTATTCTGTTTCTGGAGAATCCTGGTAAAATTAGGCTTCCCCAGAAGCTTCTGAAGTCTGGTAAAGCCTGTGGCTTCTGCCTACCTGGACAGACAGCGTCACACATGGTCACTCTATACTGCCTTCCACTTCGTTCTGTAAACTTCAGCACATTTGTTGAGTAGGAAGAGGAAAAGTATGAGGTTTAGAGGCAGAGGTAGATGGCCTGATAAAGGGCCTTTCATGGTCTTGACATTTAGGTGAAGCTGATAAATGACCTAGGAGCCTGGGCTCCTGCCTCACTTTCCAACTTGGTGGAGTCTGGGTTTCCCGGGCCACACCTCTATGTGAGACAGAAGTGGGGGGTCACTAAATCTAAATTTACCCATTTGAATTGTGGGTTTATTAAAGCCCAGATGGGATGTGGCTGAAAGGGCTAGTGGTGGACTGGGTGGACTCTACCTGACAAAACAGCCAGGACCATTTGAGTCACTCACCAAATCCACCAATGACCTGTGAAGAAGCAAATAGTGCTCCAGTTTTTGTTTTTTAAGCAAAAATAAAATGCCCTGATGCCATTGAGGTCCTATGCAGTGCTAGGCTCTGCTTACAGTTCTCGATACCATCTTCTTCCAGCCACTTCTCTGTTGCTGTGGTAAGATACCCTGACAAGAGAGAGGACGGTAGGAGACACCTCTCTTCTAGGGATTGGTGTGTTAGGATAAGGGGCGTGTGGTGGTTTTCTTGTGACTCTCAGCTTTTTGCTCTTCCTTCTAGCCCCAGAATTATTTTCAGCCATTTCCACGGAGCTTTCAGTGCCTCCTATAGGAAGAGTGTTAGTATATGTGCTTTGCTGCCACTTTTCTTACCATAGTGGAGTTCTATTCAGGAATGAAAAAGAACAAAATTATGGCATTTGCTCAAAGATGGATAGAACTGGAAATCATGTTTCGCAAATAAGCTAGACTCAAGATGAGAAATATTACAATCCTTCTTCATATGCAGATTCCGGATTAAAAACACAAGTGTAACAAAAGCAAAGGGGGGATGGGGGAAGGATGGGAACACTCAGAATGGGAGGCAGTTGGGGGAGAGAGACAGATACTGTGCTGTCTGGCATGCGGACTCTCGATCTAAAATTGTGGATCTGTGTCTATGCACACATGCATCCACCGCTATCTCTCCATAACACACTGAAAGTGGAAACGGGACTGCCTGGGAGGAGGTGGGACTCATGGGAACTCGGAGGTTGTAGAGCAGGTTGGATGTGACTGAAGTACAGTGGTCACATATGTGAAGGAAACAGAACAAAACCATTATGTTCCCAGGAATTTTAGGAAAAGACCTCTCCTTGTTTCCAACAGCTCTGGTTTTTATCTGCTACCATTCGGATGTGTCTCAGAGATCCTACTCCTGCTGAGCTAGACAATGAACAGGCCTATGGAACATCCTACAGCTGAACCCACAGCAACCTACAGAGACCCACCGTGACCCACCATGACACACAGTGAACTAAGCGACCCACAGAGACCCACAGCTGAACCCACAGTGACCCACTGTGACCTAAGCAACCTACAGAGATTCACCTTGACCCACTGCGACCCTCAGAGACCCACAATGACCCCATAGTAACCCACAGAGGTCCACTCTGACCCACCGTGACCCAAGTGACCCTCAGAGACCCACAGATGAACTCACAGTGACCCGCAGCAACCCACTGTGACCCACTATGGCCCACCATGACCTACAGCTGAACCCACAGTGACCCACGACCACCCACAAATTGATATCAGTGAGAAAGATACTTTGTTGTTAACAGTAATTGACATTTTAGGGTCACTTGTTCCCCTGGAAAAGCTAGCTGACAATGGCTTTGGCTTAATTCTGAAGAGAATGAATTTTGTATATTTTAGTGTCCTCTTTCATCTCTGGAGCCCAAGGAATCTTAGCGGTGAACAAAACCTAATTTTAGTTTCTGGCTCTTCATGCTCCATACCAGAAGCATTCTAAGAGAATAGAATAACACCCATCTAATTACCCTCTGTGGCTGCTGGATCAGACTCACCTTGTCCATGGAAATCCAATAAACACACTATGGGCATCCAGCACTTTGTAGCTGATGGCAACAGGAGCATCACTCCTTCCAAGCATTGTGGATGGGTAGCATTCACTTGCCACATGAGAGAAAGATTTCAAACTTGGATGGACCTTTCTTTTTCCAGAAATGGAATATTCCACTAGGGCTTAGCAAAGAAATACAAGGACAGATGTTTCATGCTGGGAAAAGGCCACTGGGGAGATGGCTTGGCCATGTGCATTCACGCTGAGAATCTGTGCTCTATCAATGTAAATTTAAGGAGACTTAACCTTCCTAAGGCTAAGGAGAAAAATTAGAGGGCCCATGTTCTTACTTTAATTCCTTATGTTCCACTTGGAAAAGCTCAACAAGAGTTGTTATTTGTTTTGTAGTAGAGGAGAAAACATGACAGGTGGGGAATGCCCAGACTGCTAATAGTTGTGCTCATCAGCTTTCTGTCATTGTGACATAATATGTGAGATCATCAACCTATAAAGAAGGGAGGTTTTTTTTTTGGTTCACATTTTAAAGATTCAGACCATGACCAGGTGACTGTGGTGAGCCAGTACTTCCCAGCAGGCACATAAGCAGCAGGAGAGGGAGAGAGGAGGATGAGGATGAGCTCCCAGCATTCTTTCATGAGCAAACTTCCAAGGATCTTCTCCTATTCCCTACATACCAAGGGTCCCACACCTCCTGTGGTGCCATGCACTGTAGGCCACACCTTTAACACGTGGGCCTTTGAGGGACAGTCAACTCAAACCATAGCACCAGTATGGTGATGATAAAAAAGTAAAAGGAAAAAAATGGCTCCAAAGTCAGTGAATACACAATTACCAGGATGGTTTATGACTTTCTACATGAAGGGTAAGTGAGAGATGCTTCTAAAAATTTCAGAGTTTCCTCATGTATGGGCAGATTAATGCATCTCCAGTATAGCATATATAAGGGTAATAACAGCTAATGTAAAGGAAAAATGACATGTAGTAGTCTCTAGTTGGCTTTAATTTTACATTTTGCTCTTGGAGGGGGCTGGCACCCAGGTCCCAAATAAATACATGGAGACTTACTCTTTCTTATGAATGCCTGGCCTTAGCTTGGCTTATTGGTAGACAGCTTTTCTTAACTTAAATTATCCTATCTATCTTTTGCTTCCAGGCTTTTACTTTTTTTCCATTCTATAGTTATTGCTTTCCTTCCTACTCTGTGACTGGCTATGTTTCTGAGTGGCTGGCCCCTGGCGTCCTCCTCTCCTTGTCCCCCCCCCATTTATTCTCTATGCCTGGCAGTCCCACTTATCATTTCTCCTGCTTTGCTATTGACCACTCAGCTCTTTGTTAGACCAATCAGGTAAGTTTTAGATAGGCAAAGTAACACAGCTTCACAGAGTTAAACAAATTAATGTAAAAGAATGGAACACATCTTTGCATCATTAAACAAATGTTCCGCAGCATAAATAAGTGTAACATATCTTAAAATAATATTCTACCAAAATAATATTCTACAACAGGGGCCAAATGAGTGGAATACCTGGCTAAGACAGTCAAGTTGTACTTTCCATTACCGAGGACCGAGCTCAGAATCCCACCCCTCAGGGGGCTGGAGAGAGCTCATCCAGTGATCCATTTGGGGCATAAGCACGAGGACCAGAGGACAGATCCTCACAGCCCGTGTAAAAAGTTGGGTATGATGTACATGCCTGTAATACTAGCCCCTGGAGGTAGAGACAAGAGCAATTGCGAAGCCACTCAGTGTTGACCTCTGACCCACACACACATGTTCACATGTGCACCCAAGCACACACATACATGCAAACAGATAAAGATGCAAGAATTTCATGACACTCAACAATTTGTGACTTCTGAAAATGGGAACATAGACTGGTTTTGTGCCTCATCTGGTGAGTAAGGACAGCAGTTAGTTACACATCTGCACCTCACAATGGTTATTTTGAAAAAAAAACCTGCTTGAAATGAAAACTGTGCTTCTCTTAGGGGAATTCACAGAGGCCTTTGCACAGAAACTTTGAAGATGTGAAAAGAATGAATTGTCACATCTGTTTTATGTAGGTGGAATTATGACTTCAGCCTAAATTCCAACAGGTTGCTAAATACTTCAGCTGCAAACTACCACATATTGGGGGGAACTGCTGTCAGTCCCAACCAGCATTAGAGGCAAGCCCAGCCAAACAACAGAAAGAAAACACTTTGTGGATCATGGACTGAGGATGAAAATAAATCAAAAAGAAATAAATAAATAAAGCAAGGCATGGTAAATGACATGCACTGCCTACCCAGGAGGCTGAGGCTTGTGGTATTCGATCAAATTTAATCCCGCAGAGAAGCTTGGGCAGGGAAGGGAAATGATGCATAAGTTAATACTCTGCCAAGAGCCTATTTCCTCTCCACTTCCCCTGTCCAGCAATCTTCAGGGAGGAAGCAGGAACACCCTCCCACTTTTGTAAGTCACATTTCCTGGCTGAGCGCACAATCCCCTATGCAATCAGGGTCAGTAACCTGATTTGAAGGTGTGAATGGAGAGTCGGAGGGTCCAGGTGTCAAAGATGTTAATTAAAGACATCCAGCTCACACATTTCATTATTTTCAGTCTATCTTCTGGGTCTAGTAGAGCAGTTTCCATACCCCATCCAGTCTTAGATGCATGTGTCTAGCCTGAGTCACATTACTTATAGGGCAAAAGGACCAGCCAAAGAAACTTACTCTGCCTCTGAACACAGAGCCCTTGAAAGAAACACTTTAGCTCTGAACCCAGAACCAAAGAAAAACACCCTGACTCTGAAACCAGAGTCAAAGAAACACACTTTGGCCCTGGAACCAGAGACAACGAAATAAATATGCCTTAGCCCTGAAAATAGATTTAAAAAGCTAATAAGATCTAGTGAAAGGAACACAGTTTGGCCCTGAAATCAGAGTCAACTCTGCCCCCGCCCAATCAAACTAACCAGTCTCTGAGCAGGAAAACTAACCAAATCCCTAACCAGAAAGAAAGTCTTCTCCCTGGGAAAACTCTGTCCCTATATAAGCCCCTCTGCCGGTTCAGTCGCTGGCTGTCCTTTCTCACCCTGGCAGGGTCAGCCACTCTCCTGGACTCCTCTTTCCCAAATAAATCTCTTTCTCAAAAGAATCTTGGGTAAAGGGTTTCATTTGCAGGCGCAGAACAGAGGTTCCCTTAGGCGGACTGAGCAAGGCTGAGCAGAAAAAAGTAACAACTTTTTGCCAGAGCAGGAGATTGCTACATTTCTGGGGGTGGGGGCAGGGGGAGAGCACGGGCAAATGAAGCAGAGGATGCAACATCTTGGACCAGAGAGAAGAAAAGGCTGCTGGGAAGCTCCCTTAACTGGGGAAGCAAAGCTCAGCTGCAACGACTCTCTCTAGGAGAGGGACAGAATTGCTATATCCTGTGGGGAGACCATCCCCCACCACACCCCAACTTAAGGTATTATCCAACATCCAAACGAGTCAGGATACCTTTCCTTCCAGGACTGAACTGTCCTATTGCAGCTCCAGCCTCTAAAGCAGTCCTATTGCGGCTCTAGGTAGCCTGGCTTTCCGGTACATCAAGATACCTTTCCCTCAAAAGCACTTACACTCGCTCACATCCCTCCTTGCTGATGGGTGATAAGTTTCAAAGACTACCACGGAGGGAGGAGCATCCCCGCAGCCAGTGTTGTGCAGGGTAAGAGGTCTGTATCTCGCTTGTTGGTCTACGTCTTCCCCTAACTCGCCCAGCATTTTCCTCGCAGTTGCATCTCAATAAAAGCTCTCCAATTCTGTGTCTTTCTTTCAAACCAGGTTTTGTACCAATGTAGAATGATCCACCCTAAGATACCTGCCTTGCGACTGATTTAAAAACATATTCTGGCTATAGTTCTGGGGATGGGGCTCAAAACCCTTGGCTCGGCAGTCCAGGCCCCAGTTGGATCCCTAACTTCTTTGCAGTCATTATACCCTATCCTTCTTCCCCTTGCTCCCCCAAGAACACTGACCCTAAATACAGATCTTTGCATCGGTGTTCACTTAGTGCCCTGTTCCAGTCTCTGCATTCTGTTCCCTCAAAGCTCAAGTGCATTGTCATCTCCCTGTGGTTTCCCCCTACATCCCTCTAGGTAGTGACTCCTTCATGTTTTGTCTTGTGTTTACCCTCTGTTTATACCTCCAGATCCACCACCAACCCTGCCGGCCACGCACCCTCACTTCGTATCTCAGGAATGAAGTGGCAGTGATGGCTTCCTTACTCCTAAATACCAAATCTGCTGGGGCCTTCTTCCACAAGACCACGCTTATAAACAGCTTTTAATTTGGCATCATCATTTGCACCTTTTGTATTTATTTTGTGTGTGTGTGGGTGTGTGTGTATGCGTGTATAAGGGTATACCATGCACATCTATGGGCACGGGCTCTCTCCTTCCATCATGTGGGTCCCAGGGATTGACCTCAGGTTTAATGACTAAGTGCCTTTGGCGTGCTGAGACATCTCATCAGCCTGTAATCTTCCACTTACTTCAAGCCGGGACTCTAATGAGTCTGCACCCCTTTCCTTCATTTATTGCTTCAACTCTTCCTGGACCATGTCAAAAGCTGCTTATAAGGGAGCAGGAGACAAAACTAGAAGGACTCCTAAGGTCTTACTATTTTCATTATTTTAGAAATTAAAAGGCTTGATTTCTCCTATCTGTTCTCCTACATGTAAAATAGGGATGATGTCCCTGCTGTTTCTACCTCACTGGGATCATGTAAGGAATAAATCAAGTTCAGGAATTAGCAAACTACAAAATATGGCGCTTCATGCGTATAACCAGTTGCTACTGTTTGTTAGGATCCCAACAGCTGCCCTCCTGCCTGATGGACGAGCATCACTCTGAAGGAGGCAACGTGCAATGCGGCTATGGCATTTGAAAAAATAGTAAGGAAAGATACCTGGAAATTTAAAGAATTTTTCAATAAACAGGAACATTCAGAGTGATTATGTTGCTACACAAAGAAAGTCCAAAGGCTAGCAGGATGGCTTAGTGGCTAAAAGAGCTTGCCTTCAAAGCGTACAACCCAGAACCCACGTGAAGGTGGAGGAGAGAACTGAATCCAAAAAGCTGTCTTCTAATCTCGGTGTGGACACCATGGTACACTAGAGTCTGCACACGCACACACATGCGTGTGCACACACAACGATGATGACAAGAAAATATAAAAGAATACTTAAATTTATTTTTTTCTCAATATGTCTTTATTTAAATTAGAAACGTGAATGTTTCACATGTCAGTCCCAGCTTCCTCTCCCACCCCTCCTCCCTTGTCCCTCCACCAGCCCCCCAACCCCCTACCCAATCCCCACATCATTGCCCAGGGAGGGTGAGGCCCTCCTTGGGGGGGGATCTCTAAAGTATGTCATTTCATTCAGGGCAGAACCTAGGCCCTTCCCCATGTGTCCAGGCTGAGAGAGCATCCTTTAAAAAAAAAGTGACTTTCTAGAAATCAAGGAAAACATTGAAAGTGTTCTAAAAGGTAGACATACTGTCTAAAGCTTTGTGTAAATATAAAGGACCTAGCTTAGTGGCTTCATGTTATTCAGTGGGGGTAAGAGCCTCATTCATCTTCAGGTGCATGTAGCTTACATGCAGCTTATTATCTATGTAGATTTACATATGGAGGTTTAACTATGAAAATAATGCATAAGTTATATGTAGCAGCAATATAATACTCATTTTACTTTAGAAACTTCAAATACATATATTTTAAATCATATAAATTTAAATTATATGTATATTTCAAATAATATAAATTTAAATTATAATAAGTATGTCATGCATTGAATAAAATTTCCATTTTCAATTCACAAGAAAGATAATTCCTGCTTAAAACAATTTGATGGAAAATCAAATGCAATCCATACAATGTCTCTGTGGTCTGTGTGAATTGCAGGTATATGGGAAGTATTGAGTATTTAATTCTTTTGGCATTATAGTTATGGACAAATACCTATTCTCTGTAGACTTTAGAAATATATTTTAAGAAGAAAAACCATAGTCAGTTGACAAGAAAAGACTAAATAGACAGTCAAAATGCATCTTTATTTCCTTGCACAAAGCCTACAGAGTGGGAAAATGAGGACTGTCTCTCATTAACGCCCAGCTGTCGTTTGGAACCATGCATTCTCCGGTTTCTCTCTCTCTCTCTCTCTCTCTCTCTCTCTCTCGTGTGTGTGTGTGTGTGTGTGTGTGTGTGTGTGTGTGTGTGTGTGTGTGTGTGGTCTCTCCCTCTCCTGGTCTCTCCATTCATCTATTACCTCCCACTGTGCATCCTGGGTGTTCTGAAGCCGGTCACCTGACGCAGGGTCAGTAGGCATCCAGTAGAGATGTGTGTTGGGCTGAGCTCTATGGTCAGATCATCGATCGATACCATCATACTGTGATTGACTGAAATGATCTAGGCTCTGTTTCACCTTGTACATGTTACTGTATCTGAGAAGTCTCTCAGCATACCCCGTGAGCAAAGTTAACTGTCAGAGACTACAACCACTGCAAGTCATGGTGTCAGAGTCACCTTTAACTCTAAGAGCCGGTGAGTGCCAACTTAAGATGAGATCCAAATAGCAGGTGTTTTATGATTACTGTATCAGGTGTTTTCTTGCGCATAGTTTTATTTATTTCTTGTTGCAAACCAAGAAGCATTTTGTTATGGTTCATTGACTCTACAATGGCAATAATTATAAGCGGAACCACTATTTTATGTACCATTAAGACTGAAAGAAAATTTCCAATTCCATTTTGACACAATATTCTTATCACTTGGCTTTTTGTTGTGCATGTAACAAAAGAACCTCCTTAAACTACATACGCTCATCATATATCATTCCTGTACATGGGGTGAAAGGAAAGTTAATTCACTAAGATATTCTAAACGTTCTTTACCTTTAGAGTCTGACTCGTGAGAGTGATTTTTCTACTGACTTGTTCAAAGGTGCCCAAGTCATTTCACTTGTTATCTCAGGGCCTTCTAGGTCACTGCTGGCTCTTCTGTGGCCTCTGAAAGACTCCACAGTTGTTTCTGATCCTCTATGAAAGTTTTGATTTCTTCAATATGGTTTTTATCTTATCAGAAGTTACAGAAAATTTTCCACTCACAGGCAAGAATCCCATCCCCTCCTCAAAATATTCATAAATGATCGGGAAGACAAATTGGTCTTTACAGAATAATAATACACTTACATATGTGTGAACACTGAGTGGAGACTATGAGACACCACCAACTGCAAGATATTAGGATGGCAAAAACAAGTCTTCAAATCAACCAGAACAAGCACCATCTATATCAGCAGATGAGTCTCAGGCTATCTTACCAGATTCTCTGGGAGAGAAGAGGGAAGGGAATTAATTTACTGACCATTCACTTGTTTTGGTGCCTGAGGCACTGTTCCATTGCATTGCATCTATGCTGAAGAAAACTTTGTGTGGTTTTGGGCATTTGTGTGTGCGAGGGAAAGGGAAGAGTGTGTAGGTGTTCTGCACATGTGGAGAATGTTAGAGGTTAGAGGTTCATCTTAGTTACTCTCTATTGCTGTGATAGAACATCATACCCAACAGCAAGTAGGGAAGCAAGGGGTTTGTTTCAGCTTATAGCTTAGAGTTAGTTCATCATCCAGGGAAGTCAAGGTAAACCCTGTGAGCTGATGCAGAGGCTACAGGGGTTGCTACATACTGGCTGGCACATTCTGCTTTATTAATGGTCCATCCAGGACCACCAACATAGGGTGCCACACCCTTTATGGAGTGGACACACCCACAGCTATCACCAATCAAGAAAATGCCACAGAGGCTTTCCACCGGTCAATCTGTTGGGGGCATTTTCTCAATTGAGGCTTCCTTTTCCAAAATGACTCTAGCTTGTGTCAAGTATAAATATATAAAACTAGCCTGCATAGTGAAGTGTCTTCCTCAATCGTTCTCCACTTGTGTCTTGAGACAGAGTCTCTCACTGAACCTGGAGCTCACCAGTTTGACTAGACTAGCTGACCAAGTGACCCACAGGGATCACTTGCTCTCTCCCTCCTCACTGCAGGAATTATAGGTATGTTCTGCTTTGCCTGGTTCTTTGCATTAAGTGTAACACAAACAGATGTCTCAGACACTGCAGTAAGGGAAGGTTGCTAGGAGTCCAAACTGAGGTCCTCATGCTAGCATAGTAAGCACTTAACCAGGACCCGCCCATCTCTCCAGCTCAAGAACAGCCCTTAGAAATGTATTTCGTTACAGATGGGAGAACTGAGGTTTAGAAGACTAAATAATTTGTCTGTCGCAATAGATTACTAAAGGCAGAGCCAGGACCTAAGTGTCTATCTTAGTTAGGGTTTCTATTGCTGTGAAGAGACACCATGACCACAGCAACTCTTACAAAGGAAAACATTTAACTAGGGCTGGCTTACAGTTCAAAGGTTTAGTCCATTATCGTCATGGCAAGGAGCATGGCAGCATGCAGGCAGACATGGTGCAGGAGGAGCTGAAAGTTCTTATATCTTGATTTGAAGGTAACAGGAAGTGGACTAAGGCACTAAATATAGCTGGAGCATATATGAGACCTCAAAGTCCACCTTCACAGTGACACACTTCCTCCAACAAGACCATACCCACAACGAAGCCCCACCTCCTAATAGTGCCATTCCTTATGAGCTTATGGGGGCCAATTACATTAAGACTATCATAGTGTCTTGTTCTGAGATAGACTAGCCCATCAAAGAGGGAAAGAAAGGTAACTAAGACCCTGAGGAAGCATTCTTTAACAGACCAGCATAGGGAGGCATATGAGTGAGTGGGTCCAACTTCCTGCCTGCGATCTGATGATCAACGGAATCCAGACTTTAGCTTGTAGCCTTTCAGCCCAGGCTAGGAAGGGGTTATGACCATTCCTCACACACACAGAGAGAGAGAGTCAGCCACTCCAGGTACTTTATTTCTTAGCATTTCCTCTAGTCAGCTGCAGATCCGACCACAGCCTACCTCCAAGCCCAGACTTGGTCTTTCTTCTTTCTTTCTTTTCTGTTTAGCTTCCACTGTTTCTGGTGTTTGTTTGATGTTGGTTTGTTTGTTCCATCCTAAAGTATTAAAGAGTTTCATTTCACTTTATAGCAGCATCCCCTATACATGGAATATGTGAGTATTTCTCCTTTTTGCTTCATTCAACAGAGAGACAATAGTAAACCAGGAAGTCATCCAGTATAAAATGAACTTGAAACTGGGTCCCAGTCCCAGTGCAGTGCCAAGATTTCCACCATGGCCGGGTAGGACCAGAAGGACAGAAGAAGTCATCAAGACAG